CCCCAAAACCCCAAAACCCCAAAACCCCGCTAGATACGAATATACTAGTATATATGTTAATTTTATTGGCTATTGAATGTATTTATAATTATATAATAAATATGACCGAAAAAGAAGTACAAAGGACGAAGTACAAATACGTTTTGGTAAATTTTAGAAATCGTATAATCACATGATTCTTTATAGAACTCAAATCTAGTTATCTAAGGATCAGCTAATTTAAGTAGAGAAAACGAACCCTCAGGAGAAGGAGAATCTCTTGTAGGTAGAAAATTGGCGCCTTTTGGAGATTTGGTAGAAAGAGAGAAGCCACCTCAACTCAAGACCAAAGAATAAGAGTATCTTCGTTTTATTTACATCATTCATTATAGAGTTAAAGATAAGAAGAAGAAATAGGAAAAGGCGGTAGTCGACTCTAAAAGGGATACAAATTTCGTAATCATTATTACCCTTAAATTCAATTGTAGAACATGGCTAGTGGATCTGAGAAAAATCTTCTTGATGTTTAAATTCAGGAAGATCTTGTTTACAGGCCAAAGACAAAGGAGACAAGATTGATATATGAAAGTTTGCTTTCTATCGTTTAGAGACATATGGGTGATGTCTCACTAGAGATTTTAAGAGGAGCAGCTGATGAGGTTCTTGCCATCCTTAAGACAGAAGATAGAAATGATTCCGAAAAAAAGATTGAAATCCAATGCATTCTTGATAGGATGTCTGATGAAACTTTCAATCAGATGGTTATTTTAACTCAGTAATTAGTTGATTACAATGCTGAGGGAGATCAATATAATAATCAAAGAGAAATGGAAATGGAAGTGAATTTTGAGCCTGAAGAGGATGAAGACTAAGAAGAAGACGATGAATTGGAGGTGAAAGGAGGTGATTAAGATGACAAAGAAAAGGAAGAGCTAAAAGTTTAAGAATAATCAGATGATGAAGGAGATAATGGGACTGAATAAACTATTATTAAGCCAAAAGACTAGTTAAGTTTTTCAGATGTAGATGCTTTTTGGTTATCAAGAACTCTAATGGAACATTTCTAAGATAAAATGGCAGAAGAGTAGCAAGAGCTTGAAAAAAAGCTAATGAGTATTATTAAGCTTTAAAATCCCAGAGAATGTGAAAGAAAATTATTTGCTCTTCTTGGACCGGAGAAATATGAATTGGTTAATCTTTTAATTAAGAATAAAAACCTCATATACTTTGCAACAAGATTCAATTAATGCTAAAATGAAAAAGATAGAGAGAATTTACTTTCTGAGATGGAATAGACAAAAGAGGGAAGGGAGATATTGACCATTATATAAGGAGGCTAATCTAATGACTAAGAGCTATAAAAGTCACTTTTAAAAGAAGCTGAAAACTTAACTAAAAAATATAGAGCTCCTACATCAGAGGATATGACCGATATGCTAAGTAAAAGAGTGACTGATGAAATTTTAGGAAATGCAAAGTTAGCTAAATAATTAGATTTAGAAAATCTTGCATTCTAATAAGGTGCCAGACTTATGGCAAATAAAAAGTGTATGCTCCCAAAAGGATCCTAAAAAATAAGCAAAATTGGATATGAAGAGGTTATAGTCCCTGCAACAGTACACAAGTATAAGGACGAGATTAAACTTATTCCAATAGGGGATCTCCCGGAGTGGGCAAGGCCTGCATTCCCTTCACCAATTACAAATCTTAACTTCATACAAAGTAAAGTTTACTAATCAGCATTTAAAAGCAATGAAAATCTGTTAATTTGCGCACCAACTGGTGCAGGAAAGACAAATATTGCCTTACTTACCATTCTTCAAGTTTTGAATATGAAGAGAAAAACCAATGGAAGATTCGACATTAAGAATTTCAAGATAATCTATATTGCACCAATGAAGGCACTAGTTACTGAAGTTGTTGGAAATTTCTAAAAGAGGTTGGATAGCTTTGGAATCACAGTCAAAGAACTAACAGGAGATATTAATCTTACAAAGTCTTAAATTGATGAAACCTAGATAATCGTCACTACTCCTGAAAAATGGGATATCATTACAAGAAAAAGTGGTGATAGAGCATTCCTTGAATTAGTAAAACTTATAATTATTGACGAAGTTCATCTCTTGCATGATTCTAGAGGACCAGTTCTTGAAGCGATTGTTGCTAGAACAATCAGATAAATTGAAAGTACGGCTGAAAATATAAGAATAGTGGCATTATCCGCTACATTGCCAAACTATCATGATGTTGCAGCTTTTCTAAGGGTTAAACCAGAGACAGGGTTACATTACTTTGATAACTCGTTCAGACCAGTTCCTCTTGAATAAATTTATGTTGGAATTACAGAGAAAAAGGCCATTAAGAGAATGATGCTTATGAATGAAGTTTGCTATGAAAAAGTTATGGAAAGAGCAGGTAAATATTAGATTCTAGTTTTTGTTCATTCAAGAAAAGAAACGGCCAGAACTGCTAAAATTATCAGAGATATGGCATTAGCGAAGGATGAACTCTAAAACTTTATTGGTAACCAGTCCTTAACTAAAGATTTACTTGATTAAGAGAGCTAAAACGCTCAGAGTTAAGATTTGAAAGATCTTCTACCATATGGTCTAGGAATACATCATGCTGGGTTATCAAGAAAAGATAGGCAATAAGTTGAACAATTATTCGCTGGAGGCCATTTGTAAGTTCTTGTATCAACTGCAACTTTAGCTTGGGGAGTGAATTTACCTGCCCATACTGTGATAATCAAAGGTACTTAAATTTATAGTCCAGAGTAAGGAAAATGGGTAGAGCTTTCTCCCTAAGATATGCTTTAAATGATGGGAAGAGCTGGAAGACCATAATATGATACCAGAGGTGAAGGTATAATTATTACTAATTATAGTGAACTATAATACCACCTCAGTTTGAATAATCAGTAACTACCAATAGAAAGTCAATTGATTACTTAGTTACCTGATTAACTAAATGCAGAGATTGTTTTAGGTACTGTATCTAATGTCAAAGAGGCCATTAATTGGCTTGGATATTCTTATCTCTATATCAGGATGCTGAGATCTCCTTAACTTTATGGAATTGACGAATAAGAGATATAAAAAGACCCCTTGTTAATTCAAAGAAGAGCTGATCTCGTACACACTGCAGCTATATTACTTCAAAAAGCATCTATGATAAAATATGATAAGAGAACTGGTAGTCTATAGTCAACAGCGATTGGTAAAGTAGCATCTCATTATTATATTAAGCACAACTCAATGAGCATTTACAATGAAAACTTGAAGTCATATATGAACATTATAGATGTTTTCAGACTCTTTGCTCTTTCTAAGGAATTCTAGTTTATTCCTATTAGAGAAAATGAAAAACTAGAGTTGCAAAAATTCATTGATAAAGTTCCTATTCCTGTTAAAGGTGCTATGGATGAAACTGCGACTAAGATCAATATTCTTCTGCAAGCTTATATCAGCAGATTCAAAATGGAAGGTTATGACTTGAATGCTGATATGGTTTATGTAACTCAAAGTGCTGGTAGAATACTTAGATGTCTATTTGAAATTTGCCTGAGAAGAGGATGGGCTTAATTGAGTGAGGTCTTGTTGAATTTATGCAAGATGGTAGAAAGAAGACAATGGAGTTCTATGACTCCGCTCAGGTAATACCACGGCATACCTGAAGATATTCTTAGAAAAATTGAAAAGAAAGAATAATTCTCATGGTAGCATTTCTACGATATGTCTGCTTAATAGATCGGTGAAATAGTTAAGTTCCCTAAAATGGGCAAAATCATTCATAAACTGGTACATTAATTCCCAAGGCTTGAGCTTGAAGCATATGTTTAGCCTATAACAAGAACTATCATTCAAGTTGAGATAGCAATCAAGGCTGATTTCTAATGGGAGTAAAAGATTCATGGAAGAGCTGAGCCATTCTGGATTCTAGTTCAGGATTCTGACTCAGAGCAAATTCTTCATTCTGAACAATTTATTTTGAAAGATAGAGAAGCTGATGAACAGCATCTAATCACATTTACTGTGCCTTTGTATGAGCCAATGCCTCCTCAATATTTCATCAAGGTGATTTCTGATAGATGGCTCTAGTCTGAGCATGTATTGCCTGTATCTTTTAAGCATCTTATTCTACCTGAGAGATTCCCTGCAACAACTGATGTTCAGGACATGCACTCTAAATTGGTTAGAGAGTTGTAGTTCTAGGAAGCTGAAGATCTTTATATTGGAGAGGGGATTAAAGAATTTAACTCGATCCAAACTTAGACATTTAACAAAGTATATCAAACTGATGAGTCTGTATTTATAGGTGCTCCAAGTGGCTCTCAAATAATAGTCTGTGCGGAACTAGCTATTTTTAGAGAAATCCAAAAAGAAGACTTTAAGAAGATTGTATACATCGCCCCGAATGAGTAGCTATGCTAGATTAGATATGACAGCTGGAAGGAAAGACTAGGTACCTAAATTGGACTGTAGATAGATAAACTGAGCGGAACTCTACAGCAAGATATATAAGTGCTTAACTAAGCAGACATTATTATAAGCACACCTGACAAATGGGACTTTTTATCAAGAAAATGGCAGCTCAGAAAGATCGACTAGAAAGTCGGTCTATATATCTTTGATTAGCTCTAAATGATACCAGAAGGTGGATCTGTCTATGAGATTATAGCAAGCAGAACAAGATACATCCAAAATGAAGGGGAGAATAAGAACATTAGAATAATTGGACTAGGTACTCCTATTGCTAATTCCAAAGATGTAGCAAATTGGCTTGGAATATCTTTCCCTTAAAACACTTTTAATTTCCATCCAAGTGTGAGGCCAGTGCCTCTTGAAATTCACATCTAGGGATTTGATCATAACAACAGACAAACTAGAGCATTGGCTATGGAGAGACCTGCTTATAATGTCCTCAAGAAGAATCTCAACAAAAATACTGACTCTCAAGCAATAATCTTTGTGAATGACAGAAAGTAAGCAAGACTATTGGCACTAGATCTTATTTCGTTTGTAGCAAGCGATGAAAACCCTAACAGATTCCTCCAGCTGAATAAAGAGATGAATGAGGCTGATTTTTAAAATCTTCTTAAGAAGAAAGTCCAAGAGCATACATTGATCTCCTCAATGGAATATGGAATTGGATTCTTACACGATGGTATGTCCAATGCTGAAATAGCATTCATAAAGCAGCTATATTCTTAAGGCATTTTTAGAGTTCTCATTGTGATATACACATTTTCATGGAGAATTTCAGATCTCGAGTCTCATGTTGTGATAATCTTAGATGCAGAAAAATACAATGGAGAGGAAAGAAGATATGTTGAGTATAGTATTCCCGACATGCTCTAGATGATGGGAAGAGCTAATCTGACTTAAACCATTTAAAGAGGAGGACCATAACTCGCAGCTAAATGCGTACTTTATTGCCACACTCCTAAAAAGGAATACTTCATCAAATTCTTGCAAGAACCTCTACCTATTGAATCCTAACTTGACCATCATTTGCATGACCATCTAAATGCTGCTATAGCTGCAGGCAATATTGAAAGCAAGTAGGATGCTGTGGATTGGATCACTTGGACTTTTATGTATAGAAGAATCTCCTAGAATCCTAATTACTACAACATTGCTGGTAAAACAGGCACTCATATCAATGATCATCTGAGTGAGTTAATAGAGACTACTGTTGAAGATCTATAAAAGGCTAAGTGTATATCAGTTGCTGAAGATGAGATGGGCTTAGAGATTGCAAATCTAGGAAGAATTGCTGCTTTCTATTACATTAAATACTAAACCATAGACCTCTTCTCAAAGAATCTAGAAGATGAATCAACTTTGAACAAAAAATTAAAGGCGTTGATTGAGATACTTTCTTAAGCTTCTGAATTTGAATAAGTTCCAATAAGGCAAGGTGAAGAATCTCTTTTAAGATCACTTACAAGCTACCTCACCTATCCGATTGAAGTTGAAGATGAACAAAACTACAATAGTCCAGCAAATAAAACTAATCTGCTCATATAATGTCATTTCAACAGAACTAATATCAATGTTGACCTCAGAATTGACTAAAAGGTCATACTTTAACAGGCAATAAAACTAATTCATGCTATGGTCGATGTGATAAGCTCTCACGGATATTTAAAGCCAGCTCTACTATGCATGGAGCTCTCGTAAATGACTGTTTAATCAATGTGGGTTACTCAATCTCCTTTGCTCTAGCTGCCTGGATTCACTCAAGACACAGTAGAAGCTCTCAAATCAGCCAAAGTAGATGATATTATTGACTTTATGAATATGGATGACGATTTAAGACAGAAAATCTTAAAACTTAGCGATAAAGAATTGCAAAAGCTAGCTAATGTATGCACGAGATACCCTAATGTTGAAATGGAATTTGAAACCAAGGAAGAATCCTATTCTGATGGAGATGTGGCTGAACTTATAGTAACAATAAGAAGACCAGACATCGAAGAAAAAGAGGAGTTAGCTGTATTCAATCAGCCTGTATACGCTTAGTACTATCCTTTAGAAAAAGAAGAGTAATGGTGGATTGTAGTAGGATAGCCAAAGTAAAACAAACTCCTGTCAATCAAAAAGATTACAAACTTCAAGGCCTAGAATCAGATTCAGACTGAGCTTAAATTCGTTATCAAGAATGAAGGTAATAGCAAGCAACTTGAATACAAAGTCTATTTGATTTGCGATTCTTACATCGGCTGCGACCAAGAGGACAATCTTATTATAAAGCTTGATTGAACAAGGGATTCTCAAAGTCTTAATGATTTAACTAAAACTCAAACTTAATTCATTCTCAAAAAGAAAAACTGACTAACCAAAAATAATTTTAATCTTTATTTCATAAGTCCTAAAGAGTCATTGTCATGGGGTTTTGGGGTTTTGGGGAGACAGTTCTCTTGAGTTAT